TATAAATTTAAATTATAAAAAGTTTTAATACATGAGCTATCAAAATCTCCCAGTAACCAGTAACATTCATTGGCACTATTTTGATTAGATTAGAAAAGATTTTTGAAAATAAACTTATAAGTAGATATACTTACTAGCGATTCACCCTCGCTTCGCTCGGTTTGTCCCTGGGTTGATTCCTCATACAAACTTTCATCCCCATTTTCACCCCAATAGTTATAAAAATAAAATAAATAAGTCATGTCCACAATAACAATACATCCAATCGTTGGATTGATATTCAATTCGGGCCGGAAAGATCGCCGCGGGACGGCGGGCGAGGGCGGTGCGCGGGGACGCGGGGGGAGAGGGGGAGGGACGGGACTCGCAATTGAATTTGAAAACAGAACATTCCACCCTCGCACACCCTCATCCCTCATACGCGAGGTACCCATATTATAAGATTTTTTTTTATTTTATTTCTGTTTATGTAGGTACTCATTTATTTATTTATATAATAGGTTAAATATGTGTAGTATAACCTCAGATCAAAAGTATATAATAAGTTATAAATACTTTACTACTCTACTTTTAAAAATTAAACAAAAACTATTTTATCGAATGAATTAGCTAGCCTATAATGTAGAGGTAGCATTATCATAATTATATAAATAATATTAAATATACAAAATATTATATTGCAGACTTAGTCACAACTTTTTAATTCACTACTACATAGTAGCAACATTGAAAATATGGCCACCCTATTTACCCCCTGGGCAGCGCCATTTCCCTGGCCATAGACAACAGTTTTATTGTTTTTATATTTATTTATCCAGCAGCGGTGTTTTTGCGTTATGCCTGTCTTTATGACGTAGCAAAGGGCGAGATGGACACTATGGACACTTTGTAAACATGATGATAATGCTTAGCAGAATTTATTTAATGTTACATAAGAAAATGATATTTTCTATTATTTCGCTCTATTATTTTGTTCAGAAGCAGAATTATCATACCATTTAGATAAAATAATGCTAGGTTCGTATATGTTGAATAGAAACATGTAAACTTTTGTTTTTCTATTTCTACACCTATGTATGTGGATATTTTAAATCATTTTACTTTTTGTACATTTTTGACATGACCTGTACCTACTAAATACTCAACATTGTACCTTTACGTACTAAATACTAAGCCTCGACTTCCAGGCAGACGTCGTTATTGTATGAAGTTTATTTATACGTATTACATATTAAAGAGCACTTAGTATTTTTTTTTTCATTTTAATATTTCACGTCATGTAAAATGAACTCTATATCAAATCTTCGATTTCCAATAAATTAAAAAAGAAATAGCAAGAAAATAATGCCACAAAATGAATTATCTATATGTTCGTATAACAATTTTACAGCTAATATAATTACATATAACCCCATACGAAAGAAATAAAAATTCCAATTTGTACATAAAATAAAAAATGGGTAATACGTAATGTCCATACAAATTCTGGCAAGTATCAGGTGAGGCAAAGGTCGCTATGATACGTCAGCGATTCCTAACAGAATAGCCACCCTTATTTTATCGTACATCCACAAATATAATTTTTCATTTCCAAAAATATATAATCAACCGTATACCACAGTAATAAGGTACACGAGGCAAGTGTTTGTATGTTTGTGTGTTTGTGCTAGAGGAAATAGCCATGTTCTTTCGCTTATCAATTCAATATCACAACGCTTTTGATCGCATCGTTTCACTCGTTTAGTTTGTTCTCGTGTTATTCGAGATATTTGTTTGAGCTATTTATTATGTACTTTCTACTTGGATCCTATTATGAAACATCGTTATTTATAATACCTTATGTCCTTTGTTTCGTTCATTAACATTTAGAATTGCGAATCACTTCTTTATTATACCACAGATAAAGACAGTACTAGCAGTAGGTACTAGATTGACAGTATTTTTTTTAATACTTACCTAGGTATTGAAATTGCTCTCGAAATGTTTAGATTTTCCGTCGTGTCGAGATCTTATTTATATTCAAAGAAACATGTTAAGATCATGATAAAAAAGTGAGAAATCGAATTACTTCACTGTTCTTTTAAAAATGTGAGTAGGTACTATGGAGTAACAAAGTGTTCACTTTGTATTCATACATATTTATTTTATTCGCTCGGGTGCTTTTCTAGGAGCTAGCTAAAAGACGCGCTTTAGAGGTGGCTCACCTCGGTGGCTGGGTTGCTCCTGGTACTTCTGATCGTCGGGGCATTGTGGTTACGTACGTAAGTGATTAGTAAACCTGCGACACTTCAATAAGATGGTTGATTTTGTTGGTTTTTTCTTGGGTTTAATGGGTATTTTCAGTACCTACTGGCTTTTCTATTCGATGAGACCAACATAACTACCTGTATCTATACAGATGGTATGCGTACATGCATTTCCCAAAGTAAAAAAAATTAAAGGTCGTAGACTTTATGTATTAAAAAGTTTATCCAAATCCACATCGAAACTTTTACATTTATAATTAAATATAATCTATATTCTTAGTCATGTTCTGTTAAAATAATTTTCTATAAACCTCAATAAATACGCGCTCAAAATATTAAAATAGATACAAGATGGCGCTCACCAGTGGTCAGTTTTTGCGGCACTAACTTCGCTCATTTTGTTTTTATGAGGCTAGTAGCGGCCGGCTGCTGTCACCTAATCAATCACTGTTTAACTTGCTGTCCTGCCAAATTAGTTAACCAACTTTAAAATTTTCCTCGTACAAAAAATATATAAATCTAAAATACTACCACATTAATATAATATATGATTATTAGCTTTGAAACAGACGCAGTGGATATCCATTATCTCCCAAAACTTAATATAAAAGCTTGCGCTGATTAGTACCTACATATTACATGATAAGCATGACTATATATTGAAATTACCAAATCTCTAGTTTGCACACTATTTAGTGAGGCGTATTGTTAGCCAAGATTTCTACCATCACTGCAGAATAGAAACTAAAAAATATATATAATACATACAGTCGAATTGAGGAACTCCTCCTTTTTTGAAGTCGGATAAAATTAACCATTGTCATCAAAACGTCCAGCTTTGTTATAAATTAAGCACAACTATAATTTCAGATTTATTAATTTTTAATTTTTTGATGTTCTTTCAGACGAACAATATTTGGATTTTAATAATTAAAAAAAAAAACAGCTTTACTGGTATGGTTAGTAAAAGTTTTTTTAACTTATTTTAATCCTTCGTGTTACAATTGTAGTAATAATAATCGATTCTCAGTCATCTGTAGCTGCTTTATACTTGAAATTTAAAATAACAGCACTTACAATACAATTACAATTACAATTTTTTTATGATATTGGGAGAAGTTCTGGGTTTGAAATAAGAAATAAACAAAACGAAATCTGGTTTTGAAATAGACATAACGAGAAGGCTAAGGCGGGAGCTTCTCAGCCTATGTTATCCAAGTCGGGCCTGTCACAATCAAAAATTAAAACTTACCAATAAATAATGTAATCTCGAAAACAAATCGAGATATTAAAAAAAAATCTTACTCTTCGTTTTATTTTTTCAAGATCTATAGGTAAGAATTCATCGTCAAATTCCGGCGCCAAAGCTTGACTGAGTCCGTCTCTAAATGCAGTATAGTGTGGTTTCTGATCTACTTCCGACTTAGATCCTTTTAATTTACTTTCTTAATGAAAAAGTCGAACTTGCCTTATTGTTATTAGCTCTACGTGCCAGGTAGGTACTTATTACACAATACCATTACATGATGTACTTAGAATGAGCAGATGAGATCTTGAATGTAACAATATAGTTGCGGTAGATACTTACTTGATTTTAGAGTAAATACAATTTAGGCAACGTTTTGTTGAAAGCTCCCAGACGGTTTATTTTTTTCCGACACTTCCAACTAATTTTGTTATATTTTAGCCAATGTATACAAAAACTTAATAAATTATATACTAAAACCTTCCTCTTGGATCACTCTATCTATTAAAAAAACCGCATCAAAATCCGTTGCGTAGTTTTCAAGATCTAAGCATACATAGGGACCGACAGACAGTGGGAAGAGACTTTGTTTTATACTATGTGGTGAAGAAACTTTATTTTCTGTATAAAATAATTGTAATTGACATTTTTGTAATAATTTTATATTGTATGTTAAATGTGCTGTTGATATAATCATTTTAGATTACGCGAGTGCAGACATACATTTTTTTTTTGACGTTGGGAAATGCATTTACGCACGAGGTGTGGGGCTCACCGGCAAAGCCAGTACTACCCACTAAAACCCAACGAAACCTTCCCCCGTCTTAATGGGGCGTCGCAGGATCGCTTACGCATTCAACTACGACGCCCCGAAAGTGCAGACATACATATATTAAATACTATATTATATTAAATACTATAATGTAATATAATTTATAAAATATCATATCCAAGGATAGCCGCTGAAAATATTAAAAATAACGAAGATGATGTATAAATATATTATAGTTAAATAATACAATATTTTTATAAACATTACAAATACACTTTAAATGTAATGACTACCTAGAATTATAATTATAGCTGCAGTAGATGAATGCTAACTGTAAATTGTGGATAGAAAATCTGCCCACCGCTAGCAACATTGTTATAAAAGAAATTATGTTTGTAACTTCGCATTTATGTATATAAATTACAAACAGTATTTTTTATATAAATAAAATTTTAATCCTCGAATATCTAATAAAAATGTATAATAATATACTTAATCTATTTGCTACAGTTATGTAGTGTCTTGCGTCTGGCAAATGGCAATACCACAAGCTAATCGCTTCCCGCCGGCCGGCAACTTAAATATGACGTCAACGTGAATCGTCAATCGTGACATTGACAATAGCAATATTTCCATTTTCCATTTGAAAAAACAACGCGCGTGGTGTGTGATCGGTTGTTAGCAACGTGCTGTTATTAATTATTAAATATTAAATACATATTTAAAAAGAAACAAAATGAAGGGAGATAAAAATGTTGACATCCAAGCTCTTAAGGACATCGCCAACAAACTTAGGATAGACAGCATTGTCGCTACAAATGCATCAAAATCCGGGTAAGTCTAATAACCTCAATTATCATTGCCGCTTCATTGAAGGTCTTATGAAGGTTACAAAGTAATATGATTCCCATGGAATTTAATTACAACTTTATTTCCTTTAGTGGCATACTTGTAGTTTATAGTTTCTAAGTGTATAACTCTATAATCTATACTATTGTTCGTAACTTGCATTTCTGGGACATGTGACTATAGCCCCTCGCAACGATAGGTTATTCTAGGTCAACGTTTACCAATTCAAATTGATCAGGCTATCATGTTTAATGACCGTAAATTAAATACTTATTTCATTTATTGAAATAGAAATGTAAAATTAGTACCTAATTCAGAAAATTTTAACATTTTAATTTTTATCTCATCGACAATAATTTTACTACACTGTTCTAGAACGCTAATAGTTGATTACCGAAATGTATACAAGATATGAATTGTTTTAATAACTTATAATATATTGAGAAATATGTAGTTTTATGTATTTTGCTACAACCACATTAATTAGAAAAAACATGCCTAATTTTAGCATTTCCTTTTCAATTAATATATGATAACATGACTGCTTTATTTGATTAATGATTATAAATCAAATGTTTATCATTGTAATTACTTAAGTAATATATATATATGGTTAAATAAAACAACAATATAAAAATCTTCATCTGAAAAATTCTAATCAAGATAGTGTGTATTGATAATAGTTCTAAGTTTGCAGTGTAGTGTTTTTTTTAATAATCAGTTGCTTTAGTAACAAGTATTGATTTAATACTGTTATGGAATTAGGACAATGTCCCGAGAACTAACATTTGTAATTGTTAAGAGTTGAAAAATTATATTAAGATTAATTTACAAAATAGCTCAAAATGATTTGATTTTTTGTATATTAATAGAATTGACAGTATATTTTTAAAATGTCTCTCATATTATTTTTATTGTCAATTTTTTTGTAAATCAAATATATACTAATAAGTCAGTATAATATATAATTAAAAACAATTTAATTTGTTTTAAAACTAGTTATAATAATATTAATTTAAAGCAATATGTGTGTTAATAACAATTATGCAACATTCATTGGGATTATGGGAAATTTCAAATAAGTTATTATTAGTATTAGTAAGGGAAAAACAATATTATACATTTGTCCTTACTGTGTCATCTTAAGCTTAAAGTATACTCTTAAGTTATATAATACTAGCAGAACCCGCGGCTTCGCTCGCGCTAAAACTACAAAAATACTTTAAAATGGTAGGTTTCATACAAACTTTCATCAGTTACTTTACCCCCTTATGGGATGAATTTCGAAAAATGCTAAAACAAGTAAGTATTTAAATAATTGTATTGAAGTGCATTTATATCAAGTTTCAAGTAATTCTGATTATAAATATTTTTTGAACTGTATTATAATGTGTTTTCCCATGAGAAAGAGATAATCTCCACGGTAAAAAATAGCCTATGTCACTCTCCGGTTCATAAACTATCTCCACACAAAAAATCACACCAATCCGCCAACCTGTTTCGATGTGAAAGAAATACAAACAAACAAACACACTTTCACAGTTATATTAGTATGGATACCTTATTGAAGTGTATAGTAACGATATAATTTTTTATTTGCTACAATTTCAAATGACCAATAAAAGATAGTAGAAAGGATTCAAATCTTCCACCATATTATTTGTAAGGTACAGTTGTTTTATTTTAATTTAGGTTATATAGTTATTTTTAACTTTACTTTTTTAATTATGTTCATGGATTTCTCGAATTATCTATATCTAATCCTTGACAAGAATAAGATATGAGAATAAAAATATGAAATCAAACTTCTAATAAATTTTTGAATACCTAATTGTTTACATAACTTGAATTTTTGTATTCTTACTTGTAATATCTAAATTCTAATATCTTTAAATAAGCAATTCTTGTATATTCATACTGGCGATGCGGAAATGGCTTTAACAATTTCGCTGAAATTTGGTATGTGGAGGTTTTTGGGTACTTTTACTTTGTTTTTTTTTGTATTTATTCAAGTTTTTAGTTCTTTTTTTTTTTAAGAAAATTGTACTTTTGGCCAAAACTCCAAGCGAAGCTCGGTCACCCAGGTACTAATAAAATAACATTGTGATTGTCAATCACTATGTCCTTTATACTTTTAATCTAGCCACAACTAATAGATTTTATAAACTTTATAACAAATAGTTAATAAAAGCTCTTATTATATTGTTCATGTTTAATTTTCTAATATTTTGTATGTTCGATAGTCATCCCACATCATGCGCATCAATGGCCGAGATCATGTCGGTGCTCTTCTTCCACACCATGCGCTACAAGGTGTCTGCACCAAAAGACCCATCTGCAGACAGATTTATACTGTCAAAGGTAAATTAAAGACATAAAAATTATATATTTTAATTTTTTCAAACAATTTCATAAATATCATTATTACCCTTCAACAAATAGCAATATGGTTTTAAACAATGAACGAAAACTTAATAAAAACAATCTTCTATACAATTGGCACTTCCTAAGTCCCAGGCGTTTCCTTTCTCAACTTGCTATATCTCCTCAAGATTCAGCAATTTATTTTAAACTCGATTTTTATTTCTTCCCAGGGTCACGCAGCACCAATCCTATACGCAGCATGGGCTGAAGCCGGCCTCTTCCCCGTGGAGGACCTGAAGAACCTCCGCAAGATCGACTCTGACCTGGAAGGCCACCCCACGCCCAGACTGAACTTCATCGACGTGGGCACGGGCTCGCTGGGGCAGGGGCTGGCCGTGGCCGCCGGCATGGCCTACGTGGGGAAGTACTTTGACCAGGCACCTTACAGGTGAGACCTAACAGAATACGCTATATGTATTTATTTGGCTTTCCAGCAGAAGATACAACAATATGGAAAATTATATTATAATAGAAAACAAAAACCATTTTGCATTTCTGCTTATAGGAAAACACAGCATGGACTAAATAAATATGACATCATTATAATATTATATAACACTAATTAATAGAAGTGCAAAAGATAAAATTTTAATAATTAAAATTAGGCCTTGGTGAGATGAGGTTAGTTCAAGAACTACATACACTGATGTATAGGTTAATATGAACAAAAATATAAAAGGTCATTTGAATGTCATGTTCGTGTTTTGCAATATATATATGTACTTATTGGTTCTTACATTTGACACATACATACATATAAAATTACTGCCAAATTACCTGAACCTTGCTGTATATATGAATGGAAAGTATGACTATTTCAAACTATATCTACAGATTAACTAAAGTGATTAAAAAGGCAGTGATAGGGCAGTGGTAACGCGCTCGCTTGGGAAACCGAGTGAAGCAGGTTCAAATTCCGGGTCTCGCACCTCTGATATTTTCGCGTGCGAATCATTTCCAACATGATTACCACTTGTATTACGGTGAAAGAAAACATCGTGAGGATATTCCCGTTCCCCAACCTGCACTAGGCCAGCATGGGCTATGGCCTGATCCCCCACATAAAGAAGGGAGGCCTACTCTCAACAGTAGGCCGTTAAAAATGGCAGAATACACTAAAGTGATTAAAATATAAGTGAGAAAATTAAATCACAATTAATCTGTGGCATAAATATTGATAACTATTTTTTAAGTTATAACCCAGATTCAAAAATCTTGAGCTATTTTAATACTCAATGAGATACGACCTTATTGCTTGGTGATTATAGGCGTGTGAATCATCATTGTTCGTGTGTTGGTATTTTCCTATAAATATATTGCAAAGTCATTACACTGGTGATAGTATAATATATTCAAAGGAAATATACTTTAAGAAAAATTAACTAAGTTTTCAGATTTTGTTCCCGTGCATATTTAGTCTAATTTGGATTTATCCAAAGCAAAATCTGAAAAGTATAGGAAATAGTTGACAATAGATTTGATATAAACAAAAAAAACCATTATGGGATCTTTGAAAAGCCAACAGATGATTATATTTTCCATAAAAAGCTTAAAAATTATTATTCCATCTAGATAAAAATATCAAATAGAATTATTTCGTTTGCGCTCACGTCTATACTTGCCTGCGCAGATGGCCTCAATGAGATTTGGTTGCTGGCATTGCAAATTAGCTAGATACTATTAATATGCCATTAATATTATAAAGGTGAAAGTTTGTGAAGAAGTGTGTTTGTTACTTAATAACCACCAGAGCAATTAATGTTTCCCCGGCTCCCGCGTATGATTTCCATAATAGTAATTTTAAAGTGTTATTATCTGAAATTATTAAAACTAATTTGCAGTATTGTTTTGACAAACTAAACGAATTTGTGTAATTTTGAGCAATATTATCTATACTATAATAAAAGAGTAGAGGTCGAATGTCTGTACATAGCAAAAAAATGCTAAAACCGAGTCAGGGGGATGTAAGAAGGCAAATAGAACAAATCCAGATTTTTTTTTTTCAAATTTTTGTTTCTCTGTCTGTTTGTACGGGCTAATCTCCGAAACTATTGGATCGATTTAAATGAAATTTTGCATGGTCGTACCTTATATCACCGGTCAACATCTTACTTTTCATTAAATAAGATTTTTCAAAAAATATTTAATGTACAGATTCGGCTTAGTTACAATTTTATTATATGTATGGATTATATTGTGTATGTTCGTTGCAGAGTGTTCTGCCTGATCGGCGACGGGGAGTCCGCGGAGGGCAGCGTGTGGGAGGCGCTGCACTTCGCCAGCCACTACAAGCTGGACAACCTCGTGGTCATCTTCGACGTCAACCGCCTCGGCCAGTCCGAGCCCACGTCTCTGCAGCATCAGGTATGACGATATAGCTAGGCTCAAACCTCTACTCTTACCAATTTTATAATATAAAATATCACAACTATCCGTCGTTCCCTTTCAACGTTAAAGAAGAACAAACAAACAAATATGTACTTATTGAGTGTAATATGTGTTGTGGAATAACTATATAAGAATACTTATTTACATCAGAATTAAGTATTTTGATACTAACATACTTTACTATGAATTATATTTAATACTTTCTTAGATTTACCCGAATATTTGACATTTTAAATAAAACTATCTTTTCGGATTATTTTCGAAATAACCCGAAAATATATGTAGTTTTATTTAAAATGAATTATAATTATAATCCTTAAAAGGAATTTCTCAATGGTTATCAAAACTATGAAAACAGTAATCAATATGAACCTATGATAAAAAATATAATTATAATATGGCCTGAAAAGAGTTAAACTGCTCGAAACATCTTAGGATTTATACATAAATATATTTCATTCAATCGGGAATATACAATAAATACTAAGATATAGTGAAAGCGTGATATAAAAGCACTACATTCAAACGGCATGTGGCTGCAGACGAGTCGCGCTACACACTTTTTTTTGCTCTAAATAAATAATTTTCATATGTCATTTTTTTTTCTTTTTTTTTTATTATTAGTCATAATTTTTTTTCTCTAAATAAATAATTTTCATATGTCATTTTTTTTTCTTTTTTTTTTATTGTTAGTCATATTTTTTCTTCATATGTCATTTTTTTTCTTTTTTTTTTTATTATTAGTCATAAATTTTTTTCTCTAAATAAATAATTTTCATGTCATTATTTTTTATTTAGTCATAATTGAAGTGAGGGATAAGAAATGAAACTATTTATCTATATATAATGACAACTATTATATACTAGCAGTTGCCGCGGCTTCGCCCGTGCTCAAACTTCCAATATAAACATCAGTTTTACAATAATGTATGGAAGTCTGCCCGATTTGTTGGCATTTATGATTACTGCTCCGCTCCCTTGTGTAGTAGCATGATGATATATAACCTATAGCCTTCCTCAATAAACGGGGTATCTAATGCAAAAGAAAATTTTAAGATCGCATTAGTAGTTCCTGAGATTAGCGCGTTCAAACAAATAAACACTCTTTATAATATTAGTACAGGTGTGAAAGTTTGTATGTGTATGTAGGTATGTCTGTATGTTTGTTACTAGATGCTGAAACGGGTAAACAGATTTGGATGAGATTTAATATACAAATGGACAAGTTATACTTGGAGTAGAACAGGCTACTGTTAGGCTCTTTAATAAATAATTTAAGAGGCAATTGCTGTATGAAGCAATTTTTCATTTTATTTTATCTATGTATATCCAAAATAAGTTAGTTTAGATTTTGAGTGTTAAAAAAAAACAAAAAATATATTGAAAGTATATTTTATATAGTTTTAGAAATACAGTATCATATTATGTACTAGCCTTGCCCGCGGCTCCGCCCGCGTTTACATGACCAAAACCAAATCTTTGAGTTTTACTTATTAGTATACTCATATAGTTTTTGTATTTTTTTCTCAGAAATGAGACATATTCCCGCGGTAAAAAGTATCCTATATGTTGACCCGGATAATCAGCTATCACCATACCAAATTTCATCAAAATCCCTCCAATGGTTTTTCCGTGATGCGGTAACAGACAGACAGACAAAAATTCTAAGAACTATAGATTCGGCCTCTATATTGATAAAAAAGTGTATTTCAATAAGATTTTCCAAAAAATATTTAATGTACAGATTCGGCTCAGTTACAATTTTATTATATGTATAGATTAAAAGATTTATTTACGTGACGACTAACTGATAGCAGCCGACATTGATCCCCACACTTGTGTACGTCACCTTATCATTCGCTTGCAGCTTACATAATATTTACTTGTGAGGTTATCGGGATCCTTCAAGAATGTAGAACAATGTTAATTATTATTAAACAATAAATATTTATTATATCGGTAATATTCATAAATTATTAAAAGATTACTAATTTAGTGCGAAAACTACGCTAAATATCGATTTCACCTGAAACAAAAGTAATTTAATGAACAATTTGTTTAAAAAAATATATTTATTGTTGATTTTTTTAAAAACCGCTCGACCGATTTCGATAAAATTTATTTGGGACCACCTAGAAAGTATACCCTTTGAAACAAAAAAAAAATTCCAAATCGGTTCTGGTGTCTTCGAGTAATCGGTGAACATACATAAAAAAAAGTTTCTGACGAATTGAGAATCTCCTCCTTTTTGGAAGTCGGTTAATAAAAAGTAACAGAACTGTCATAAGACTTTTATGTCTATCCTAGTTGACTTATTGACCTGTATATGATGACCCGGATAACCAGCTATCATACCAAATTTCATAAAAATCTATCCAGTGGTTTTCTCGTGATGCGTTCCCAGACAGACAGACAAAAACTCTAAAAACTATAGATTCGGCCTTTGTATCGAAATAATAAATAATAATGAAAATAATAAGTAATAATGACCATTTCAATAAGTTTTTTTTTTAATATTTCATGTACAGATTGGACTCAGATAGTCAGAATGTTATTATATATGTATGTGTATAGTTAGAGGATTGAATGACCGTGTGACTGTCCATTTATATTAGTTCTCACAAGATAAATGAATTAAGAAGCTACTGAACTGGTTTTGTTAAAACTTATTCTCTGTTCAAGTTGGGTTTTATGTGTTTATTGTCGTTATTGGACACAAATACATACTTAATTATTTTTAATCAATATTTTTAACTATCATTACACGCGGCTCCGCCCGCGTTCAAATGACCAAAAACTAAATTCTGAGGCTTTACATATTAGTATACTTTTATATTGCAGTTTTTGTATTTTTTCTCAGAAATAATAATATATTTTCCTGCAGTAAAAAGTATGATATATGTTGACCCGGATGAACCAGCTATCACCATACCAAATTTCATCAAAATCCCTCCAGTGGTTTTCTGTGATGCGGTAACAGACAGACAGGCAAAAATTCTAAAAACTGTAGATTCGGCCTCTATATCCATAATAAAGTCGATTTCAATAAGATTTTCCAAAAAATATTTAATGTACAGATTCGGCTTAGTTACAATTTTATTATTATTATGTATAGATTTACGTTGTAATAATTACATTATTTAATGCACTGAATCAATTTAAATAGAGATGTGTATATATTATTATATATTTCTATGAGTGAAGTGCTAAATGAAAAGTGTGTCGTACTCACGCGGCCGCCGTCGGCCGATGTGGGCAGTAGCATTCTGACATATTTTTTTTTCGTTCGTGGAAATGAAATATTTGGTTTGTTTAATGAAATATTTTAAATGGAGGAGGTACTGTAATTTGTTTTTTGTTCTGCATTCACTTTTGAATTATAACCTGATTTTTATGATCCTTTTTTAATGAATAATGTGGTTGGTATACATATCTTTAGAATAGGCGCATTTTGAATTTTATATAAGAAATCTATCTGTAGGGGTGTAATAATCTTATTATATTAAATGAGCAATTCTTGTATGTGCGTTGTATATAAATTTATTTCATATATCTCGGAAACAGCTCTAACGATTTGGATCAAATTTTGTATTTAGATAAGCCTTTGGTTTTTAAGTTTATCTATATGACAGCTGTTTTTTTCTTGGAAAATATCTTTTCCAAATATTTATTTGAAACCTAAAAATTAAAAAGTAATAATGATTACTACAACGTATACCGTGTTTCCACCATCACAGATGGAAGTGTACGAGGCCCGGCTGAAGGCGTTCGGCTTCCACACGCTGGTGGTGGACGGCCACGACGTGGGCGAGCTGGCCAAGGCGCTGGACGAGGCGGAAGCCACGAAGGGTTGCCCCACCGCGCTCGTCGCCAAGACCTACAAGGGCAGGGGCTTCCCCGGCATCGAGGACAAGGAGAACTGGCACGGCAAGGCGCTGGGCGCGGAGGGCGACAAGATCATCAAGGTACACCCATTACTATGTTCTTTAGTGTTTGTCTGTGTGTGTGTGTGTGTGTGTGTGTCATTCCATATTCAACAACTACCTTGATATTGAGAGTGATGGATGAATTTGGGTGAAATTCAGTATACAGATAGAATATGATTTGTAACATAGGCTACTATTGACGACACGCTTGGCTCAGTTTGTAGTGACCCTACTTTCTGTGCCGGCGGTCGCGGGTTCGAGTCCCGCTGGGGGCATTCATTTGTGTGATGACGAAGGTTTGTACTCTAATCATGGGTGTTTATATTTATAATATGTATGTATTTAAAGTTATATATGTGTAGTGTATCAACTATCTGGTATCCATAACACAAGCCTCGTAGCTTACCATGGAACTAGATGGCGCTGTATGTTAATGACGCAACGTATTTATTTATTTATTATTATTTATTGCTTTTTAGACAACTAGGGATGTACCCGAAGTCAAAATAATGTGTGATGCCGAGATAAATTTAAAATTTTGATAGTTATATATTAGGCAAGATATTATTTTGGTTTTTTTTTTAATATTTCTTTGCTGATGCACTTACTCAAGTAAAATAGAAATACGTATTGTTATGTGTTTCTAATTATGAAGTGCTAAATGAAAAGTGTGTCGTACTCACGCGGCCGCCGTCGGTCGATGTGGGCAGTAGCATTCTGACAAAGTCTCTATACGTATGTTAAATACAACTATTATAAACTATTTGCGGTTTTATTTTGGTTTCTGATTCTCAATATTTTATGAAAAAAAAGTGTGATACTCGCGTAATCTTATGAAGTACTAGCATTGCCCGCGGCTTCGCCCGCGTTCAGATGACTAAAAACCAAATTCTTAGGTTTTACATATTAGTATACTCTTACATTGCCGTGTTTGTATTTTTTCTCAGTAATGAGGTATTTTCTTGCGGTAAAAAGTATCCTATATGTTGACCCGGATAACCAGCTATCACCATACCAAATTTCATCAAAATCCCTCCAGTGGTTTTTCTGTGATGCGGTAATAGACAGACGGACAGATAAAAATTCTAAAAACTATACATTCGGCCTTTGTATCGATAATAATGTGTATTTCAATAAGATTTTCCAAAAAAAATAATTAATGTACATATTTAGCTTAGTTACAATTTTATTATATGTATGTATAGATTAAGTAAAATATACGTAAATTTTTTAAATTAAATATTGTCTATAATTCCACTCCACAGCTCCTCCAGTCCCAGATAAAGAGCGACAAGATCACGCTGAAGCCCCGGCCGCCGCTGGCGGAGGCGCCGCGCGTGCACGTCGCCGACGTCACGCTGTCGGCGGCGCCCGCCTACAGGCGCGGCGAGCTGGTCGCCACGCGCCTCGCCTACGGGAACGGCCTGCGCAAGATTGCTGACACCAACATGAGGTACGGCCTCGACCTTCACCTTCGACCTTCACCTTTACTTTCATTCGCACATTTACCCTCACCTTTGTCCTGGCCCCCTCCCCACTCTAAGCCACAGCCACAGAATAGAGACTATACTTTCATTCCATGTCGCTCCTTCAAATATAACATAAAAGTGACAAAAGCTAACACAAAAGTGACACTTCTTATGTAAACTTAACTATAAAATGTTCATTTGTAAGTGTTGTTTTGATGAATATTATGTACATTTTATAAAATTAATTACAATGTAAATAATACATTTTTATAACAAAATAAGGTAAGGTATTATATGAATGAGCGAGACAAATCATTTTTGATATTCAAACACGGTACCATGGTAACATATAAATAAACAAATGATATAGACCTCATAATGTCTAGACGTAACAAGACATATATTATATATTGAAATAAAACTTTATTGTACACTAAAAAAACTTTATTGGACATATATTGAAATAAAACTTTATTGTTACCTTGTCCGACCTGCTAACAACAAAACACCGGTTTTTTTTTATTAAACATTAAATCCAACCCCGTGAATGTACACCCCATATGTCCATTATTTATACCGAACGGGACTGAACCCACGACTATTAGATATGCCGGGATGAAAAATACTCTATCTATACTTAATATTATAAAGAGATAAAGTTTGTGAATTGTGAGTTTGTGACGTTGTAGGGGGTAATCTCTGGATCTACTGAACCGATTTAGATGAAATTTGGTAAGTAGATAGTTTGAGATTCTGGGAAGGACATAGGATACCTTTTATCCCGGAAATCATCCCTTAAGAGGGTGAAAATGGGGATGAAAGTTTGTACGGGGAAACAACCTATCAATAAAAATCAAAAAAATATTAATTCAAATCCATAGTTTTTGTTAAAGAAATTATTCTTAAATATTGTACATTTGTAAATATTCGCTTCTTTTATTTGCACTGATTTAATTACTATAGAAATTCATATTGTTATGTGTTTCTAATTATGAAGTGCGAAATGAAAAGTGTGTCGTACTCACGCGGCCGCCGTCGGCCGATGTGGGCAGTAGCATTCTGACAAACTTTATTTATTTGTATTAACATTAACATTGCTGTTAATTGCATTAATTTTGTTTCAACTAACAAAATTTCATGTTATTTTTATTTTATAAATATTTCTTCCAGAGTGATCGCGTTGGACGGAGACACTAAAAACTCCACCTTCAGTGACAAGCTGCGTAACGCTTACCCAGACAGGTGAGCTTGTGTTATTATATTATTGAATTAGAAACTAAAATAAGCGACCGATGTTCATTATAGGAACAACCGCTCAACTTCAAGCAATGGACTGAGAATTGTGAAGACGTCTCGTTAAACTACCAAAAGCCAAAGTAATTTAATCTGGCAGACATGGAAACTATTTTGTTCAGAAACATGCATGATATTAATGGAAATTTTTTATTAATGGAAATTATGTATATTTTTTATCCATTATCTTAATATATGTAAATATTAATATTATGTGACACAACATAATCTAATATTAGGTGTCCATGCTTAACGATTCCCCTCTCATGTCTATATTTAAAAATAATGATCAAATCTTAAAATGTAAATTTTTGTTTCAACAACTGCGTGTACCTTTAACAAATACGTAAATATATATATATAACGGTGTGTGGTGTGTGTGCAGGTTCGTGGAGTGCTTCATAGCGGAGCAGACGCTGGTGGGCGTGGCGACGGGCGCCGCGTGCCGCGACCGCGCCGTCGTCTTCGCCTCCACCTTCGCCGCATTCTTCACGCGCACTTTCGACCAGGTACACACATACACATGCGCAGACACACACACATACACCGCACAGCACTCTTACGGGGCAAGGAAAGTTTTGGTAATCACAAGTTGGTCGTAAATAAAAAGATTAAAGAACAAAGTCTAAATAAAACTATCTTTTCGGATTTTTTCGCGGATATATTTGTTTTTTTTTTTGGTTCCCGACGTCTCGAATGCTTTACAGCAATCATGGTCACGGGAGAGACTAAACGTTTTAGACATCTCAAAGGCGTTATATACTTGTTACAGACAGTGCCTACCCACAATTTAAAAAAAAAGTTATTTCAAAAATTGCACCAGAGTACAAAAGTTTTTTATATCTGTTTTTCTTTAATTAATTTGTATTTAATTATAATACTTATTGATTTTTTTTGTAAATGTTTAGAATTAAAATCGACAAATATTGTAAGATACTCTGTTTCATCCGCGAAATAATCCGGAAGGATAGTTTTATTTAAAATGTCAAATATCCGTTTAAATCTGAGAATGTAATATGAGAACAAATTCTAATAAATTGAAATTTAAAACAAATTTAAATATTAACAAATGTCTCCGACAGTCTCGTTGTGTGAAGTCTTACTGTCTATAGCCTATAGGCCCCTATAATTATGCAACCATACTATTTATAGTAGTGACGCTGATTTAATGACCGCATTTATTTTATAAATATCTTAAACATCTTGGACATTTTTTATATTTAATTTATATTGAAATTGAGATATATCCATATGTGTCTCCTCCATTCTATGTGACATTGGCTACGTAATCTGTACTCAACTGACACGCTTTGAACCCATTAACAAGAAAATTGAATTAAATCGTATATCTGTTGTCCTCTACAGATCCGCATGGGCGCCATCAGCCAGAGCAACATGAACCTGGTGGGGTCGCACTGCGGCGTCAGCATCGGCGAGGACGGACCCTCGCAGATGGGGCTCGAGGACTTGGCGCTGTTCCGTGCCGTGCCCTCCTGCACCGTGTTCTACCCCAGCGACGCGCCCGCCACAGAACGAGCAGTGGAACTGGCCGCCAATACTAAGGGCATCTGCTATATACGCACCTCCAGACCCGCTACAGCTATACTGTATGATGCTGATACTGTGTTCAAGGTATGTAACTATACTGTGTTATCATTTAATTAGAGCTGTCCAACGGCTAGCGTACTTTCTAAGTGCTAACACTCATTAACTCTCACTGATGGATAAATGAGCCAATAGGCTAAAATATCATAGACTAAGCAGTAGAGCTTACAGCCAATTTCACCAGCCAGAAGTACCCTAAATATTTAAATTATCAAGTTTTACTTAAAGGTAACCTTTCCCTTATTTAAAAAATAATAATAATTGCAATCTTTTTTTCAAAAAAAAAAGGTTACCTGAACACGTAATCGAATCAAAAATAAAATATATCGTCATTATTTCATCGAACTGATTGATAGAATCTATAATAAGGATAAAATTAAGTAACTAGGTACGTATTTGAATTTTCTCGACTTTTCTGTCTATCTATTAAAAAAAACCGCATCAAAATCCGTTGCGTAGTTTTAATGATCTAAGCATACATAGGGACAGACAGATAGCGAGCAGCGATTTTGTTTTATACTATGTAGTGATGAACATTTGTTAATCATTACGTGTATTTATGTACAGGTCGGTGAAGCCAAGATAGTGCGTCAGAGCGCGTCGGACCGCGTGCTGCTGGTGGGCGCCGGCGTCACGCTGCACGAGGCGCTCGCCGCCGCCGACACGCTGCAGCAGGAGGGTAAGTGCAGCACCACCACACCCATACCACACCACTAATCCACCCACACACCACCACCACCACACCCGAACACCACCACACCACCCACACCACTCCAATCAAACACTACCACTTTAACCACACATGACTGCCATTACACCACCACACCAACATAAAGTCCATATCATCCCAATATCACTTTGACATAACCCTCCACACTAATCACACATTTCTATATACATATTATTCATGTTTAATATTTAACAATATTATTTTGGCCAACTTGAAAAAAGAAGGAAGTATTGATAAGAGCATTTCCTATCCATACGTTATACGATGTGTTTGACAACAATTTGAAGAAGATTTCAAACAATAGATATCAACTTTGTAAATTATAAGAAAGATGCCACTCCCTTTTTATTTAACTTTATGCCAATTTTTATTGTTTATAATTTTTATATTAACGGTACGATTGATAACGTGCAGGCATCAACGCGCGCGTGCTGGACCCGTTCACGATCAAGCCGCTGGACGAGGCCGCCGTGCGCGCGCACGCCGCCGCCGCCGGCCGCGTCGTCGTCGTGGAGGATCACTACCAAGCCGGTCTGTGGCATTGCTTACTTAATACTTACAAGATTAAGCACTTACTCCTTACTTAGACAATATTAACCATTTATAGCTCACTAGCATTGCCCGCGGCTCCGCCCGCGTTCAGATGACCAAAAGCCAAATTCTTAGGTTTTACATATTAGTATACTCTTACATTGCAGTTTTTTTATTTTTACTCAGTAATGGGATGTTTTGCCGCGGTAAAAAGTATCCTAAATGTTGGCCCGAATAACCAGCTATCGCCATACCAAATTTCATCAAAATCCCTCCAGTAATTTTTCCGTGATGCGGTAACAGACAGACAAAAATTCTAAAAACTGTAGATTCGGCCTCTGTATCGATAATACTGTTTATTTCAATAAGATTTTCCAAAAAATATTTAATGTACAGATTCAGCTTAGTTACAATTTTATCATATGTATAGATTTAGACATGGATCGAGCTCTCTCTGCTCAATTAGACATAGAAATACAGTCCTTGCTTACTTATACGCATTCATATTTAAAAATATTACTGACGATGGATATAATCTCTAAAAAATCCCAGTATTTAGAAAAATGAAGTTACTAAATACCTTGTAAGGATGATTTTAAAGTGGCTACAGAGATATTCAAGAAATCATTTAGACCGCTTATTAGATTATGATCTAATTTGCTATGGTGTTTTTTATAGATTACACGTTCATATTCACTATTTTTATATTTAATTATCGATTTAAAAAAAAAACAATATTTGTTCAGAGCGTGGTACAAAGTTACAATGCTGATATAATTTTGCTCAGAACTAATGTACTGTATGTCATAACTCTTAAAACTGGTACTATGGAATTTTTGTCACCGCTAATAATCAAAATGAAATTTAAAATACACCTTTTTGATCCATTTTTTTCCTCTGCTTTCACTCAATTTAAACTATTTTGTTAATGCACTGATTTAATTACTATAGAAATTCATATTGTTATGTATTTCTAACGATGAAGTGCTAAATGAAAAGTGTGTCGTACTCACGTGGCCGCCGTCGGCCGATGTGGCAGTAGCATTCTAACAAATATTACTTCTATATCGTTTAAACTACTATCAAGTATTTCCAATATTAATAATATAAATGAAAGTATGTGTGTATGTCACTTGTTTACGTCGTAACTTTAGAATATAGGCAGATTATATCTTAATCACATCTGTATAATAAATAATTCATATAATGATAATGCTATTCATTGGTGAGAACAAGTTAATTGGTGTGACTGTTATGTAAAAAAATGTTCTTAATAGTTCGAGTAAAGTTTTTAGGGTAAAATATACTGTGTTTTTTCATATAATTTTTATACAGCCTTGAAGATCTTATATATGGACAAGGTGGGAAATGTTTGTTGGGTCAGTTAGAAATAAATAATTAATCTACACAATAATAAAATTCTAACCGAGTCGAATCTGTACAAAAAAATTTTTTTGGAAAATCTTATTGAAATAGTCATTATTAGCGTTATAGAGGCCGAATCTATATTATTTTGAATTTTTGTCTTTCTGTCTGTGACTGCATCAACGAAAAACCATTGTAAGGATTTTGATGAAATTTAGTATGATGATAGCTGGTTATCCGGTTCAACATATAGGATATAATTTTTACTGCGGGAAAATATCTCGTCTCTTACAAATCTATACTAAACGTTAAAACGTAAACGTATATTTATTTACATTTATATGTTTATGTATATGTCATTATATGATTTTTATTATTATTCATTTATTATATGATGTGGTTTCCAGGTGGGTTGGGAGAAGCGGTGCTGTCTGCGCTAGCGGAAACACGCGACGTGTTGGTGCGGCACCTGTGCGTGCGCGAGCTGCCGCGCTCCGGCACGCCTGACGAGCTGCTGCACAAGTACGGCATCTCCGCTCCGCACATCGTGCGTGCCGCTAAAGAGCTGCTGCAGCTGTAATACTGCAGCAGTAGCAGCAGTCACTAAGGTGTACTACGAGTTGCTGATATTTACATATATAATAAATACAGGAGGCAATCCCATATGTAATATATTATATTATAAAATTTATACAGCACTGCCAAGTGTGCCAAGTATGGTAAAAATTTTTTTTTAAGTTTTAAACAATTTCAATTATACTCGTCAATAAGTTTCCCGACTGGCAGATAAAAATATGTACGACAGTCGGGTGATCATGATAGATAGACGCCTTCGATAGACTGTATGGATAAGTAGACTGTTATTATGAACATTTACGAGTATAGGATTGCCTCGTGTCTCCTTCATGTTATCCCCAAATAATTGGACAGATTCCTAAACACACTAACAGATTCTCAAAATATCAGTAAGATTGTATCTATCGTAATGAAACTCGTAGTAAGAACACTGTTGTAAGTAAGCGTCCTCTGTCTTTGATGTTATTGCCAATAAGAAACTTGTACCGACGCCTATTTTTTGGGACTTTTTCTTGGGATTTTTAAATTAATTTTAAACTTCAAATACTCATTATTCGAGTGTTTGAGATTTTCATACCAGTGGACTGATTTCAATGTTTTTTTTTTTACTATAAAGTTTGTCAAATAAAAGATTTAAAAGTTCACGCGAGTTAAATCCGTCAAATAATAGTGATAAAAGCTATATTTCTCTGTTCTGTAACTATTTGAATATCTTAATCGATAACCGTTTCGATAAATTATAATAAAAGGCTGAAAAATGTGTGATACTGTACTATATAAGAGCGGTCAGATATATATATTGTTTTTATGTCAAAACCGTAGCAACATTGTTACAGATAAAGAATTGATCGGCTATTTATGAGACATTCCTAAATTAAAGAAAAATCATTCCCAATTTTCCTAAAACCAGTTTCTCTCACTCAGGTTCAAATGAGTTTATATACATTCAATTTTATTGTTTAGGAGATAAAAGTAATTAATAAGCATACAAACACACTGTCCGAGCACTAAATGTAAATGAATACGAATTATATTTTTTTATATACATTATGGTGGTTTTGTAAGTTTTTATCATATCAAAGTGCCTTACTTACTGCTCGCACAAATATATACTTTGAGATATTCGATGGGTGTTTTAGATGTTATCTGTTTAGCACAACTTGTTGGTTTTCTTTTTCTATGCATTTTGTTTTTTTTTTTGCTATTATCTGTTGTAATGTCAGTCGTTACATTTAATTGATAATTTTTGAATCGTTGAGTTTATTCGCTCAATATATTTAAAATCTTCAAACGTTAAGTTTGACGGCTGGTTAAAGTACATATTATTGTCATCTCTTGTAGTGTTTTCTATTGTTTAGTATATTTGGACCCTGTTATGCAAATAACAGCCATGTGCGAGTTATAAGCATTTTATTATAAAAAATAAAATAATTATAAAAAATAAACGATACTTATATAAATATTGTTCAATTTTAAAATAACCAGAAAAACAAAACATAACCCAAGTGCAACTATCAACAGAAAAATGCTTATAACTCTGTTGGTACTTTTACGCACATGGCTGTTTTTTGCATAACTGGGTCCATTTTTGATCAATTTTCTATAAACGATTTATTTGTACTTGTTGTTTGTTACAAGTTTAAAACCATGTATGCATGTATGAAGGTCATTTAATATTTTGGTGAATGATTTACTTTATTATTATCGTCGAGGGCTTCCATTGAATCACAAATTCAGGTTAAAATTTTTATTGGTTTCATACATTCCTGTTGCATTTTTGTAATCACAGAATTATTTGAGTTTTTATTTTTTAATAAAGTTTATTGTACACAATCGAGTCTTATTTATAATTAACGATTATTATATTATTACATTATGTACAGACTACAGTACACACTAACACATGACTAGAGATACTCAGTGGGCGCTCGCCGCGAGACGCGACGCTCACGATGCGATTTGTTAAGGTAATTCCACACGATTAGTAGGGTGGAGCGGAAAAAAACATTTTTTGTCTTAGCTTGGGGGTAGAATTTTTATTTATTTTTATTTTATTTTGAGTTGGTCCACTGATTTTTAAAATAAATAATTTTAAGTTTTGGTTTGAATGATTTTTTTCGCGTGATTATGTTTAAAAACATTAAAGAAATGACAAATATAGTAATTTTCTACCCAACTTTCACTGTTTTTTACTTTATTGAAATTTTGTTTTTTTTTGTAAGTTACAAACTACCCCCAAGCTATAAAAAAACTTTTTTTCGCTCCACCCCAACGATTAGTCTCGAGTAATACTCATTTTTAACGATTAGTAGCTTTTTTATGTTAAAAATAATAATATCACACTAAATTAAATGTAAATTTTTTCACCTTCTCCAATGAAAATATTGAAAAAGTTGAAATTTTATTCCTTGTTGTTGTTGCATTTTAATTGTACTATAAATTATTATAGAAGCTATAAAAGATTACTTAATTTCAACAAAATCCTTACACTAGATGTCAAATGACTAGTTAGTATTCGTTAGTTGTCACAATATTTTACTATATATATATATATATATATATATATATATATATATATATATATATATATATATATATATATTAACATTATATAAACATTAACAAGCCAATATAAAATATTTATAATTTTCATAATTCATTATCTAATTTAACATTATAGGTAATATATTTTCTATTTTAAGTATTAGACACTCATAAATAAATTCATAATCAGTAGTGATGCCACTATTATAATAAATATCATACTTATTGGCGTTGAGCAGATACACTGGCGGCAAGTTGCTGAACTAACTTAGACCCAAAGTTACTTTTAAATATCAAACTATATTATAAATATAGCTCTTCAATAAGTTAGCTGCTGTTAGTTCCGAAAGCTAAAGAAATCTATTCAACACCAATTCTTCAACTATATGGCAACACCACTAAAAGTTTACGTTTAGACTATAGAGAAAAACAATAATAATAATATATAACAGCACGGAACCGTGGACGGATGCACAAGCGAAAACAGCTCCCGATCAAGTCTTAGTGAAGGCAAATGTTAAATGCAATACCAGCACGTCTCCTCCATACCGCTGGAGTCTTTGGCCTAATCTTACGTAACCCGCTTGGAAGAACTATTCACTGCTATTTTTTAATATTCTGTTTGAAATCGACTTGTTTTGCCGCCAAATTTTCAATCAAGAAACTTTTTTTTTTCAAATCAATTTAAAACAAAATGTGTCTATTGGAATATTTTAACACAACAAGAACAGCCAGAGTTCAAGATTCGTGACACTCAATATGTAACCACTGTTAGCTTCCAAGCGTATTCGTTCTTCCTACAGCAGCAGCTAGGGCAGCTCACGCCCAGTGCGCGGGCGCGGGGGTGGCGGGCGCGGGCGCGGCGTCCAGCTCTCCCGGCAGGTAGTCCTTCCAGCTGCGGAACAGGTAGCGGGTGAACTTCCGCAGCTGCCGGAATTTGCAGTACGTGGCGCCCTCTGCCGATTGCAGCTGCTGCGTCTGGATCAGAAACCCCTTCTCTTTGAACGTTTGCTCCAACTTCTCCCTTTGCAACGTCTTTCTTGATTTCCTCTTCTTTTTGCTTAAATCTTCCTTTTGTGTGTCGATTTTTGGTAACGACGTTCCCACTTCGGTTTTTTCTTGGCTTAAGTCTTTTTGTAGATATTCGTAGCCCTTGTTGCCCTTGCCCCCTGTGCCACTATAATATCTAAAATTCCCCCCAGAGTCTACTGACAGCATTTTCTTCTCTTGTAACGATGGCTTGGAGCCGCCTGTGAACTTGAACTTACAAATGCTAACTTCGGTGGTGGGCGTGGTCGTATTGGTTTTGGCCGGCATGGGAGGAATAAATATTGCCGATCGTTTCCTTTTCACGGGACCTTGGGCGGGAATGGGTGATACTCTCTTTTTGCTTAGTTCTGGGCTCTTGGTCTCCTCAACTTGCTTTATAACTTTAGGGTCCAATAATTCGGAAATTTGTTTAAGTACTAATTTACTTTTACCATCCTCTGGTAACGTATCGTTGTTCTCAGAATTTGGAGATATTTTCTCCCGATCTTCGGGTGAGAAAGGTAACTGCCCGGAAGCTGCTAGCCTTTGATAATATAGCAGTTGCGTTTGTAACGCTAGTGGATGCATATATATGCCTGCATTAGGCCAGTAGATGTATCCGGGGAACTTCTCATCTTCAGGATGAGAAGTGGATTGAGCAGGTTCGGACAAAGCTGGTGAAATATTTCTAGTCTGGCGCGACAGGTCTGGCGAGCTGCTGGCGGTGGCGGGCAAGTTGGTGTTCCTTTGTATTACTGAAATGGCGTTAGGTTGCTCACTTTTCACACTTTCTTGTTCTGAACTATCCTCGAGCTCAATCTTCACTTCTGGCATTGAAGTGTAAATGTTGCCAAACTTTTTTTGTATTTGCAATTTCAAATCGTGCAAATCTCGTATACAGAGATTTAACGGTTCATCGTCGCTATGTAATGGGCCCGCCGTTGTTATTGGCGCTTCAGGCATAGGCTCGTCTGGACTACAGAATCTAGGCGGGGACGGATTTTCTAGTTTTCTCTTTTGCTCCTGTGAAAGTTTTCTTTCTAGAAGACTTGAAATGATTTTATTTTGCAAGTCGGTTTTGGGCGTACTGAATGGTAGATCTGTACTTCTAAACGGACTCATGTTCACTTTGTCTTGAGGAGGTGGTTGTCCAGGCACCACTGTACCGTAGTTTTCGTAAATCAGGTGGCAAATATCAGCCTTTTTAGGTTTTCTACCACGTCTGGGTTTCGAATTATTTAAAGTCATTTCTCCCATATACGGTAAATCTTCATAAGTCATGATTTTGCTGGGCGTGATTGCTGGACTTTTCTTTTTCTTTTCTTCTTTACTTTTAGCGGCCATATTGAGAAGTGGTGTCTGTGGAACTGTTAATGTTCCGGTTTCATTTTGCACTCCGGCTAATCTTTGCGCCCAGATTTTAAAAGATTCGTTTGTGAAATTGTTGTCTACGTTTTGTTCTTTAGGCTTTTCTGAAGATTTTTTTTTAATATTGGCCTTCTGCAAGCTCTGCTCGTAGTGGTCGAGGTACTCCTGGGGCAGGGCCTGGTGGTGGAACTTCAACTTCCACCGATTTTTCTGTCGGCTCCTCGTGTGCTTCACTTTAGCGGGCTCCGACTTTTCAAGGTTTCTTTCCTTGCTCGCGGACAACAACTGTTGTCGTAGTAGTTCTTTATTTTCCGATGATCTGAAAAGTTCACGAATGATTTATTATAATAATATTAATATTATTGTAATATTATAAAATATTGTATAAAATTATGTTGCTTTGTAAATCTTTCTATTTTTGAGTAAATATTAAAATTTAAAAAAAAAGCCTTTATAGAAAGTTTAGAGAATAATCGATCGAGAAGATATCGATGATTGATATTTGCAAAGCACAACTCACTTGGAGGGCGGGCGGGGCGCGGGCGGGCACACGTCGCCGCACGCCGCGCGCCGCATCACTTCTGAAACAACAATACAAACATTACTAATGGAGGATCTTACTGGGTATAGCTAAACTTGTACGAATAGCTCAAGCTTCCGTTCGGGCTTTTGTAAATTATATTATTTATATAATAAATCCCATTATATAAATCATTCTATTAATTAAAGAAATAAATATATCTAATATTAATACGGTCACTATAAAATGTTGTAACTTAACTAATTCGGTAACGATTTATGACAAAGTTGTCGGATAGATGCTTCCATAGATAGGTAATGAATAAATTAACCGACTTGGTTTTACATTACATCTCATAGCTTTTTGCGGTAGAAGAAATGCGTTGCGAGACTTGCAATTTTTTTACAGAATGTTTTTGATGGGATCTCATTTCTTTTTGTAAATATTTCTTCTTTTTCTCTTTTCTTGTACTATTTCTTGTGTTACAGCTAAGGACTTTTTAAAAGCCCACTCCTTGTCTCTGTGGGCTTTTTTCAAAGGCTTTTTAATATAGGTAACAAATTTTGACAAGTCTGGATAAAAAATCTAAGTCTATTGTATTGGGAAATTACGGACTCCTGGACTTTAATACTACTATCTTATGCTTTAAGTATAAATATGTATAGTTAATTTAACGAATATTTTAATTTCATTGTTGACCCTAAATACCTAACCCGATACTGATATTCAACTTATATAAGTTTAATAAGACGTGTAGATTTATGTGTCTATCTGCAGCATCGTAGTTAAATCCCGAAAGTTGTATTCCATTCCATTTTAAAAGTAATTTTCGAAGAGATTGATATTCCATGACCTCTATATTCCATGTACAATTACGAGCAATGAGATGTACAATTACGAGCAATGAGATGTACAATTACGAGCAATGAGATGTTGACAAGGTTTTCTAATTCATATCAACATCATATTTTGTAAAAGAAAATGTACGAGCTTTGTTTCAAAATTAAGTAATCGTCAAGTTGTTTCTTAATTAGGTATATATTTAAATCAATTCATTATAAATAACAGTAATCGAATATTAGTAGGTATAAACTACACACGCTTCACATTACATTTATGTACCCATGTGTATTTGCATAAAAATTGTAATGCTACTAAAAAAGCTTAAAATATTATTTTCGCATTTAAAAAATACTTTTCTAATACATATAGTTGCAAATACAAACATTAATAAATCGACGAATCGAAATTAGGTTAGTGATTACGAGGGAACATAGGATCGGACATACAAACATACATACCTATAGGTTACAAGGTTTACAAACACTAACCTAACCTCCTTTTACAGTGCAACTATTGTATAATTAATTAATTTACTATTAATTATAAATTTTATTAGAGTATATGAATGAGGTGAAAAAAATAAAAGTAAGATATCGGGAAATGAAAAAATAATATTTAATTTAAATAATGGAAGGAAAAAATAGTGTAAATTTAATTAAAATATTTTATGATCTTTAAACGAAATTTATATTTGACATAACGGCACAAATTAAGGCAAGCTACGAGTATGATGGAGTTTATTTATGTCAAAATATTTATATTTTGTGCTATTTTATTGTGACCTATTATTTTAAAAAATACCTAAACCTTCTAGCGTTCCTTGACGTCGTTAAAGTGGAGAAATTGACTAACAAATTAAATACTTAGTGATGACAAACGGAACTCTGAGAAAGATATATTTTAAGTTGGATATTTAAGTTAATAAAATAATGTATGAGTTATTCCTGTGTTTTTTAACATGACTAAACTAAATATTGATAAATACATATTGTATGTATTAGTCAAGTAGAAGTCGAACTAAAGCTCCGAGGGCTCTGTACTTTTTTTTTTATAGTTGGGAAATCCTATTACGGATACCGCCAGACTTCCCCCGGGCGACTCTCGCTACGGAACACACGAGTGTTCCATTACTTGTATATTTTTTTTATATTTAAGATCTTTTATACATATAAGTTTTAATTTATATATTAAATATATTATTTCTTAAAACTATTTACAATATTGATAATTACATTTTAGTCGTCGCTAACACTTACAGTATATCCACTATTTACCCAGCTATACATTTGGGTAGTTTAAGTGACGAAAAATGATATGTATGAACTGCAAAAATAACTTTGTAATCCCATATATCGCATATCTATTTGTATAGGAATACAAAGTTACTTATGCAGTTTGTATATCTCGAAAACAGGATTGAAATTGCATGATGTCTGAGTTTTTCCGTGCGTTATAGGCTAAACACTAATTGTGTTCAAAATTTGAAGCTCCTATGTCTGCTAGAAGAACCTTAGAATTTTGATGATCGGTGAGTGAGTGAGTGTGTGAGTGACGATATTAACGAATTTTGATCTGCAACAGTTCTTAAACTACAGGTTCAAATTAAATGTAATTTGGAAATATGCTTAGTTTTATTATGTTCTTTTAGTCACTGAAAATTCAGGCTTCTAGCTTTATCCATAACGAAGTTATGGGGGGGTGGAAAATGCTCTGAATCGCTTCGAGAAAAGGATGGTACTGTCGTGCCCTTTTTTGCTCGACTTGGCGGGGGCACTCCGTGCCCCCCGATAATAAATTAATTATAAAATTATATAATTTCATAGTATAGTAGGTAGTAGTCTTAACTCGTAAGTACATTCAAATAGGAATCCCATAATAATAATCTTATCTATACATATAATAAAATTGTAACTATGCCGAATCTGTACATTAAATATTTTTTGGAAAATCTTATTGAAATAGACATTGTTATCGATAGAGTCCGAATCTATAGTTTTTAGAATTTTTGTCTGTGTTACCGCATCACGACAAAACCACAGGACAGATTATGATGAAATTTGGTATGATGATAGCTGGTTATCCGGGTCAACATATAGGGTACTTTTTATCGCGAGAAAATATCTCGTTTCTGAGAAAAATACAAAAACTGCATTGCAAGAGTATACTAATATGTACAACCTAAGATTTTTTTTGGTCATCTGAACGCGGGCGGAGCCGCGGGCAATGCTAGTTACTATTATAAATGCGAAAGTTTGGATAGATGGATGTTTATTACTCAATCACACCAGAACGATTGAACGGATGTGCACGTAATTGGGCATAGAAATAGATTATAGTCTGGAATAGCACACAGGTTACTATTTATCCCGAAAAGATGTAAGATTTCTGTGGGAGAGATTTGTTCTTCACAGAGCGAGGAATCGAACCCGAGCGAAGCCACGATCAATCGCTAGTAATATTATAGTTATATAAATGCGAAAATTTGTATGGGTCTGCATAAGTCTGTTATTCATTCACGCTGAAACGTGTGGGCGTATTTGCCGATAAGCAGCTAATCGGTAATATAGATTATATTATTCTTTTCAAAACCACAATGGGAAAACTTTGTAAATGAAATAACAAACAACGATTACGTAAAACCACGTGGGAGCAAGTTTGGCAAAACAGTAAATTCAGTGACGTCGGAATCAAAGTAATCTTACACAAAGCTTGGAAATAAAAATAACATTAACATCCGCATTCGCTCTCAATGTCATCGAAAATCTCGACGAGAAATATTCCTCTTTCAAGCTTCTACGAAAAACCAACTTTAAACCGTTAGTCAAACTTGAACAATAATAGTGTTGTACCGCAAGTATATACGTACGCTCGAGAGGCTTTTGCCCGATGTCACCAACATCCCATAAGCTACCACCTACGTATGGGATCCCTAGCTTAAAAGTTCCCCTAAACTAGCCCCTAAATTAAATTTCGTTTTACCATCGTCAGAGCCGATATTTCTAGTACCTATATTTAGGTGGCATTTGAAAATTTAGGTGACCCCTAACTGTCGGTGAAACAGAAACTGTCCCCTAACAGCCCCCTAACCATGCTTAGGGGATCCCTTAAACTTAGGTGACGTTGGTAAAATCGGCCATTAATGTACGGCCAGTGGCCACGCGTCACTGTTTGTTTACACTAGGTGTAGTACATATAAGGTAAATGCCAAACCCTTTTCGGAATAATCATAATGACGCTTGTATTTTATATTTAACTAGCATTGCCCGCGGCTCCGCCCGCGTTCAAATAACCAAAAACTAAATTCTTAGATTTTACATATTAGTATACTCTTACAATGCAGTTTTTGTATTTTTTCTTAGAAATGAGATATTTTCCCGCGGTAAAAAGTATCCTATATGTTAACCAGGGTAACCAGCTATCATCATACCAAATTTCATCAAAATCTGTCCAGTGGTTTTCTCGTGATGCGGTAACAGACAGACAAAAATTCTAAAAATTATAGATTCGGACTCTGTATCGATAATAATGTCTATTTCAATTACATTTACCAAAAAATATTTAATGTACAAATTCGACTTAGTTACAATTTTATATAGATACGATTTGAAAAACTAAATAAAATCTTTTAATGTACTTTTTTTATATTAAACCGTACATAATATATGAAGCCACCTAAATAGATAATACGCCCAAATCAAAATGGTAATATGAAAAACGATCTGATTAGGAACTATATTGGTCAGTCCGTATGTCCGCCCCGAGCGCGCACGCGGGCGGGTGCCGACACTCGAGCGCTGTGAGTTGGCGCCCAAAATATGCCACATGTTATTTCGCAACTAACACTAAACTAAAGATGGACAGTGCTATTCTCACCGCCAGATAGGGTTACAGATGCAGGGCGCAGGCCCAGCCTCCGGCGCTGAGTGCCTGTTCTCATTATGAACAAATGGGTTCATTTGTTCTAATATATATTTGTAAATATATTATAGTAATAAATATATTATAGTTATAAATATATTAATACTCATTTCTTTATACATAGCTACCACAAAAACAAGATAATACGTACAAAGAACAATATAGGTATCCCTGACTGTTGACACCGACACTGCTCAGAAAACAGGGGGTCGCGGATTCGATTTCACTGCAGCACGAATATAGGCAATGCGGGAACTGTCAATTGATATATGTACAATGATTATCTATACATATA